CAAGTATCCTTATAAAGCTATATAATCTACAAACCCATTCATTTATATGGATGAATGTATTTTAGAAGTATCTAATCCTAGGATCAATTAATATGGCTATTAGGTAAACAAAAAGGGAGACTGCTATTAACAAAATCTTCTTCTGGAAAAGGAAAAAATAAATTAATAATAAGGCTCGAATGTCTAAAATAAATCAAGTAGACCTCACTTTAGAAAAGACATTACTAGGAAGTTCTGTTAAGTAATTTTTCAGCAATAGACCATAACACCTTTTATTCATATTTTTGGCAATGTCAAATATCTTATACCATTCCATTCCTTGACTACAACAAAATACATTCAAATTGTTTTACTGGGGCTTTGTTTTTAAGTCCCCCAGTCATGTCTGACTCTGCAACCCTGTGGACTGTAGCCCACCAGGCTACTCTGTCCATAGGATTCTCCAGGCAAGAAGACTGGAGTGAGTGTCATTCCATTCTCCAGGGGATCTTCCTGACCCAGGGATTGAACCCAGGTCTGCATTGCAGGCACATTCTTTACCATCTGAGCCACCAGGAAAATTATCTTTTCTTCATATTTTTGACGATGTCAAGTACTTTATACCACTCCACTCCTTGACTTACACCAAAATATGATGATTGATAAGCGCACAAATTCTTTTAGTGGGACTAAATTAAATCCTTTAATGGAAACATATGTCTGAAGTGTATTTCTTTTTAAAGTTAAAACTTTCAATTTTTTAAAGGCATGGAACCATATTTTTATTTTTCAAATCAGACATATTAAGAAACTAAATTGAGATAATTATTTAAAAACTGAATTAATTTTAGGAAAAAATATTATTTAAAGAGCCTTATAATAGAATGTAAGATGACATGGCACACAGAAACCAATAACTTCACAGTTCTCCCACAATCCCAATATTACTCAACAAAGAAGTTTCTGACAAAGTGCAGAGATGGAGGGAAAAAAGGATATAATAACCTTTCTTTGGTTCAAATCCTTAAAAATATGCTTATCCTTATAAGTTTGGTAAGACTTCCTTATAAGTGTCTCTGGCTGTAGTTGAGAATGACCATGTGACCAAGGGTAAAGAGTACTAACTCTGAAAAGTCCTCTCACAATGATGACAAAGACATATCCACATCTGTTACGGATAAATTCAAATTTTCAATAATATATTCAAAATATAACAAATTCAAATTTTCAAGAGGAAAGCCCATACAACTGAAGATTATAATTTATGCCTGGAGTTTAGAAAGTATGCATTTTCTGAATCTATGAAAACTTTTTATATGGGGGAACTTACACATAAGGAAAAGATGATGACTACTTAAGATTTTTATAGAAGTGATGCAAATAAGTTTATAAAACTTAAATTTATAGTAATATATTTATGACATACTTCTGATACTTAATCTTAAAAGTTAAGATTAAGTTAAGTCAGTTAAAAAACTGACTTTAGTTAAAAAACAAGAGGTAAAAGCAGTCCCTCTCCCATTCATCTCACAACAAAAATCTTACTGTATCTTTAGTTTCTGTGGTTACAAATGGAAAAAAAAATTAGAAAAATCATCCGTTTTTCACACAGAAGTATAATAATAAATGCTATCTCATGAGTTCTAACTATACATTACCAGTGGGTGTTTTTGAGACAGGAGTTCACTAAGATAATATCAATCAGGTATTGAGTTAATAATAATACACTAGTATTTGGTGCAAATTTCATTTTATTAAACCTTACAATGAATATCATTTTCCATTGTGTGACAATTTATTGGCTGGCACCAGAATACAGTACTTTTTGGAAGAACACACAATGGGAATTGACAAAAGGGCAGGGGAACTAGTTGTTTAGTGATATGGGGTGGGAGGAACCATGACAACAATTTTACTTTCCTTAGTATCTAGCTCTAAAATGGCTAAAGGTCCAAGCAGTAAAACTGCTGTTACAATGCACAAGAATATGGTTATTATTTCATCCAGGCCCCACAATTCTGGGAAAATTACAAGGATTATCATACCTGTAAAATTCAACCTAAGGTTTCTGCTGGGCTATATGATTTTAAAAAGCTACTTTTTCAAATATAACCTAAACAGTTTTCCCAAGTCACAGTAGATAGGGGTCTTGAAAACACTATACCTTAAGGTAGTCATTTTACAAATGAGCAATCACTTAACTGCAAAATCATCCTGGCCACCAAATTACCTTTTCCTGATGTAGGCTTATGTCCCTGTCCAATTAATGGGAAGAAAAGGACTATTTTTAAAATCTATAATCCACTTGTCTTTATAAAGTAGACTGGTATCTAATCTGAGTAAAATTACCACTTCTTTTCTTTTACAGAAACGATCAAGAGTGGAACATCTAAAATTCATCAGGCCGTAACTGAGAACTTTCATGGAAATATAATCAATTTATACATTAGCTCCAGTCAACATTACCATGCTACAGTGCACAGTAGAGAATACAATTAGTTCATTAAGTATTAAGTTACTCATCTGAGGGTTTAAAAAATAACACAAATGTTAAGTTTTTTAATAATTCAGCCTCATAATTTTGAGATTACTTTCTGACAAAGGCTTTAAACAGTGTCTGAGGTCACATTTATGAAACAACTTCCTTTAAAATGGATAATTTTGACCTTTTAAACTAACTGATTTTTCAAGAGCTCCTAACAGCATTTGGGGAGATGGCAAATAGAATTGTACCCTAATTGAAATAATGCATTTCAGTTATTAAGACTGAGGAATAATTCTAAGTTATCTATAGTCAGCAGTGGGAAAATGCTATGTAAACAAATCCTTGTTTTATACTCAAGTTGCACAATTCAAATTCACGTATAAAGTAGTGTGAGATGTGCCTTACTATAAAAGCATGTAAAGTCCTCCTACCCCATCCCCAAAAAGACTATTAAGTCACTTAAAATTGCTCACCTTTCACCTGTAAATTATTGAGATTAACTAATGCAAATTTACTAAACTTAACAAAGTTTTCATTTTTTTAAAAAAAGTAGTTTATGCATATATAATTCTTATACCACAGGGCAAATGACTTCAAAAATTGATGTCTGATATTTGCAGAATATTTCTCTAAATCACAAATTAGTCATAACATATGGCGGCAGTTCAAATATTTCATCAAATTTGCCCACAGTAAACACGATATGCAAATCTCCTCATCAAAAGTTTGGAGAGTAACCATTTATATCGAAACCACTTTTTTCAATGGTGAAATGAAATGTACAACCTAGTAAAATGAGTAAGGGTATCTCTTTTAAAAAATTAAACTTCAATTTTTTAACCAGAAAGTGAGTCTAAAGCTTTATTTATGATTCTTCATTACAAGTTTTTTACTGAGTAAAGATGAAATGAACCTAACATGACTGTTTGCAATGACAACTCTTAATACCACTACATCCACCCTCAGAATAAAATGTCAACACAAAAACCCAAGTGATCCAGCTCGTTAAACTCACAGGTAAACTGAGTTTTCCTCAAACCAATAAGGAGCTTTTCATTCAGAACGGTTTCATTAAGACACTGGCAAGGCAATGTGCCATCGTAAATTTTACTCTGAGCAGCAATAAAGTGCTGAATGATAATCACCTGAACTTTTTTAGTGCTTTCCACTTAGTTTTTCTTAAGTTAAAAGAGCCCTTTCTGTGGCATTAGCAAAGCTGTTAAAAAAGGAAAGAAAGAAAGAAGGGAGGAAGCAAGGGGAAGAAAGGAAGGAAAAAAAGAAATAAAAGTTAATTTTCAGCAAAGGAACAGGAAGCACTGCAACCTTGTGTTTAATTATGGTGACAAATATTGAGACCGAAGTAATCCATGCACGTCATTGTCAAAGGCATACTTAAGCTTGAAGAAAGAAAGAGCACTGTTACTGACCTTTGATACTATGGCAGTAAATTGCATACTAAAATACCTTAATTATCCTAGATGCCTAGGTCTGGCTTGGCAAGCATCATGCCACTGACATGCTTCAGCTCTTTTAGTAACTAAAAGTGATTTGCAGTTCAATTATTGAGTATTTCAGTGTGACTCATTAAGCTGTGTGATAAACTCTGAGGTTAAATGTAAGCAAACTCTCTACACTTAATCACACCATCAGCACAAGCAGGACGATGCTGGCATGAAAGGTGGGTTTCTTTATGAAGAGTCCTTCTCTTACTGCATGATACATTATGACGACAGACCTAGATCTCAACCGGGTTAATGAGTTAGAATAGATTTGCTCCCCAAATTTAGCACACAATAATTTCAGTGGATTAGAAAAAGAAATCTCAGATGTAAAGAAAAAAACAACAAAAAAGCTCAAGCTCTGGTAGCTAACCTGTAGCTCTACAAATTGTCATGCTACAAGAGTACTTTCATAAAATGAACTTTGTAACATATCTAACAGTGTTTCAGAGTTGAAGCTGACCAACTGCTGCATAGAAATATGCTAACATACAACAGTCAAGTTGAAGCCCGTGCATAGAGAAGATAAAGCACTTATGGTAAACTGCAAATGGTAACAAGTCCATAAAGTTTATACAATTTAACATGGGTCCTTGAGGGGAGAAAAATTGCTAAGTAGAAATGGTTAAGTTAAAAATAAAGTGGAAACAGGAGAGAAGTTTAGAGAAAAGAGGGAAGCAGCAGGAAAAAAGACCTTCAATTGTATAAAATTCACAAATCAGAAAAGTATAAAGACACCACTGAAAAATGGTTAATTCTGTCCCAAACACCCAAAGCAAACAAAACCAGAATGGATAAGCCTTTGGCAGACAATTTCAGAAGTTGAATATGACATTTCATTTCTCAGTAATTCACAAACAATATATTATATGGTATATTTATATTAAATACTGGGAAACCAATCCTGTAAATTTGATGCTTACAGCGCTTTAGCCAATGAGAGCACAATGGACTCAAGCTAAATGAATGCTGGTGTTATCACAAGAGTGCTCATTTATGCAACAACTGTGACCAATTCGTGCCTTAAAAGTCAAACATCATCTGTGAAGTGAAACGAAGGCCTCCAGCTTTTCCGGGATGTGCCCTTTATAGTGCACTCTATGAGTCACTATGACACGGGCAGCAAGACACTGCAGCGTGGTGTGGTTTATAGGCTGGATCAAACTCTTGGCTATTTCCTTCTCATCCAGCAAGTCACTAGCAGTTTGTTTGTGCAAGTTTGTGGCGTCAAAATGTGCACCTGATTTAATAAGGAGATTCATGATGTCTGGGTGGTTGTTCAGAGCAGCGATATGGAGGGGACTGTTGTCATCGGAGTCTCTGACATTCACATCAGCACCACACTCTATCAGTATTGCAGTAACTTGCAGAGATGGAAATTTACAAACAGGGTACCGCCCTACACAGGTAGTATTCTTGTCCACAGCCAGATGAAGAGGGCTGAAGTTATTCTTTCCCCTTGGATGCAGCTTAAGAAACCTGTATATAGTCTGCTTTTTGAAATGGTCCTGTTCTAGAGTACAAGGAACTTTTTCTAATAAGCAAATCAAGTGCAAAATGATGGAAAGAGCCTTATTTAACTGTAACGGGTCAGCTGGACACTGAGTTTGTTTGATAGCTCGCTCTATTTCAAGGACACTTTTGCACAGTATGCCCATAAGATCATCAAAGGTAACAGTGGTGCCCAGCAGGCCTTTAGCCCTATCCTGCAGCATGAAAGAGAACAGTTCTGCAAAAGATAATAGGCTGCTGGCGGTCATTGGGCTGAGAGGGTCCAAATTGTTCTGCTGCATATCCAAAGCATACTTCCATAGGTTGATGCATCGTTTGAAATTTCCGGAGTCTGCATAGACAGCACCTCTGTATCTAATATAGTAAGAGGTGTCAGGATGAGAAGGACCGAGAATACGTTCTCTAATTAATAGTGCCTGCATTCTCATCTCATCAGGATCAGCAATAAGACCTTCTAGCTCTTCTGCACTGTTTACCTCCTTGGCATAATCATAAGCCATTATTAGTGTCTGCGGTACCGGTTTGCTAATGATATTAGTCCTATCACTGTACCTCATGTTCATTGCCTTTTTCCAGTATTTCAAAGCCCCAAGGAGGTCTCTTTTTTTGTCTACAAATGTAGCTCCCAGGAGCTCTAGTGCATTGATCCGTTCTGTCTTACTGGTCTGTGCATGGTGAGTCAGAAAATCCACAATATTTGTGTGACCAGTCACACTTGCAGAGAGAAGGGGAGTCATTCCATAACCATCCTTTTCCATCTTGGCACAATACATAAGAAGCATCTTCATAATGTCCAAACTTCCAGACTCTGCACAATCATGCAATGCAGTATTACCTTAAGGAGAAGGAAAAAAGAAATAACATATTTTGAGGAATCAAGATACAATGTAATACATAAATGTACTTTAAAATCTAAAGAAAAGTAGGCAGCTCCAAGCCACCCTCAATGGGACATACTTTAATTTGCTTCCAAATAAGGAAAAAAGATCCCCAGCACCTAAAATTAACATCTGACACACAGCAAGGGAAAAATAATATTGGTTAAGTTCTTTGAATAAATGAAATGACCAAATTAGGCATGAAAAGATATTCAAAGTCACTAAATGAAATTCAAAATTAGTCCATGGCCCTTTTGGTATTTTTTGATAATGATTTCAAGTGTATATTCTACAACTAAAAACTAATGAAATTAACCAGCTGTGCAGTTTCGCTGACAGTCACGTAACTTTCTGAGTCAGATTCCACATTTATAAACAAGAAATCTAGTCTATAAGTATCTAAGATTCTTCAATTTGATTCTAAGAGTGAGAAGTTATTTTTTCAGTATTTCCAGATTGCCAAGTGAACTTCAGCTTTAGTCAAAACTACTGGTAACAAAGTACTTTCTTCAAAAAACTCCCATAAGAAAAACAAATCCACTGAAATCTAAAGAACATGTGGGTGGTTGAATATGAACTTTAAAAGGAGACATCTGAAGTGTCCTTTCATAATGAATTACTTCCCACTGTAATTTAATTTTTTTAAACATTCTTTTTAGATGTACTAAATGTTCTAATACTGTCCGATTCTTCCCACACATGGATTAAAACTGACAACAGGCACTGGCACATTAATAAAAAGCCCTGTATGGATGGAACATACTAAGACATAATAACCACTCAAGTTATTCTTAGCTACCTAAGTTTAATGATAAACATTCTACTTATGGTCAAAACAGAAATTATCATGCAGATCTTTGGTATTTACACAGTGCTTACAGAAAATTTCAACAGTGAATCATTTTAGGCATGTGTGTGGAAAAGAGCTAACCTAGCTGGCTGAGACAGCTATTCTTAGAAAGACCTGCTTGCAAGGATGGCCCTTGGCTGGCATCTGGAATGCTGTTTGCTAAACAGTTCCAAGACACAAGTTTCCCTAAATGATAAGGGTGAATTCATGCAGACTACCTGCTTTCCTTCCGGGAGTCTGGAATTTTGAATATGTGCTCAGCAGAGGATGCCTACGTAACAAGCACCCAATAAAAACTTGGGCACTGAGTGTCTAATCAATCAAATGGGAGTCCCTGGGCAGGAACATGACACGCATACCTTTACATTGCTACGAGAACCTCTCACAAGAAGGACAGAGCATAAACAAGCCTGCACAAGAGTCCCCTAGACTCCCCTGTACCTTTCCTCTTAAGATCCAGATTTATGTCCTTATTACATCACTGTAATAAATCTTAGCCATGAGTACGACTGTGTGTTAACTCCAAACGTGGGGGTGGCCATGGGAACCCCAGGTGCAGGATATGTAGAAAGTGGTTTAAACCTGAATCCTTCACATAACAAATCTACAACTAAAATTCAAAAAAGCACAAGTTATAATAGGACTTTAATCTCTTCACAAATGTATCCTGCTTCTTTGTCTTCTGTATCTACAGGGATTACATTGACAACATCTGTGTATTTATTCTGACTCAGCATTTCACAGTGTCTGATGGAAGGTTTTAGCAATGTGTACAGTAACCAAGCACTCGAGAGCCCAGAACTTCTGACTACTCCTGTTTATTTGCTCAAAATAGTTTCAGTTAAACATGACTACTACTAAGTATATTGTTTAAAAATCTCTTGAATTAGGATCCATAATACTTCTGTTTTCTCTAAGAAATAGAGTATAATAAAGCGACAGATTAGATGGCATTCTTCTCCATTCATAGTAATAAAATCAAGAATAAAAATGCAGCAAAAGGCAGTCTTTTAATTAACTGAATTGCTGTATTGGAAAAATGCAGAATATACATATATTTTGAATACACCATATGCTGAAAAAAAGTTTTTTGTTTTTTTTTAAAGGACTACGAGACTCACATCTAGTAACGGCAGAGGTAACAGGATCCCCTCCCACTAAGAAGCAGAAAAGCTGAGAAGTGCATTTTAAAAAATCTGTGCGACAGCAGGTAAGGGCTCACATGGAGACAACATCCAGGAGAATAAAAAAAATTAGTTAAGTCCAGAATTTGGGGAAATTTCCCCCAACGACCTCTACTGATTGTGGAAGAGGCAGCTGAAAAACTGAGCAGAGCTTTTGATCTTGCAGGGTTAGAGGAGAAAACTAAAGTCCAGAGCCCATTAAGAAATCCCTCTACACCTCAGGGTACAGTCCTGTGGGGCTGCTCTCTAGGAGGTAAGACAAAGCGCAAACAAACCCATCATCACAGGAACTGAAATGGAAATTAAAATCATCTTGATATGGAATTAAAGTAATCCAGGACTGCCGGCATATGTAATCAAAAGCCAGAAGCAAATACAAATACTATTTAGATGAAGCAATTATCACACTAGGTTCAAATTATTTATATACATATTCTTCATCTATAATGGCTGGTATCTAATCAAACATAATGGACAGAAAAGAAAACCAGGAGCCACAACACAAAAACCGAGAGAAATAAGCTCTAAGAGAAAAGCCCAACAGAGGACCTAGATAATGAACATTCTAGAACTGAAAAACTCAATGGGTGGCTTTAAGAGTAGACTACACACACCTGACTAGACAATCAGTGAACTAGAAAATAAGTCAGATGAAAACACACAGAAAGACTCGTGAAAGTAAAAGGATGAAAAAGCAGGAGACTATGATAGACGAAATAATGTCAGAAGGATTAATATACTTAAAACCAGAATTCTAGAGGAAGAAAAAAGGGCCCAAGGCAAGGCAATATTTACAAAGATAAAGTCTGAGAATTTTCTGAAGCTGATCAACCATTAAGCCACAAATTTAAAAAGTTTTACAAACAAGAAGGCTAGATAAAAAAGAAACTTACACCGAGACACTACAGCAAAACTGCTGAATACTAAGGACAAAGAGAAAATTCTTAAAACAAAAGAATAGGTAGAAATGACCAGCAAAAGAACAACAATTAGATTGATAGCAAAGTTCTAATTAGAAACAAAAGAAGCCTTAATAAAGCAGTAAAGGAAAATAAATGCCAACTTATTTGTGAGATATCTAAATAAATATTTACTTTAAACATTATAACAGGGTTTGAGACCTGTATAGAAGAAAAATGCTTGACAGAAATAGCATACAAGTAATGATGGTAACAAGTTAAAGTATTCTAAGATTTCTGCATTGCTTAGAAAAGGGTAAAATTAGTAATTTATGTTAGCCTTTAATAAGTCAAAGTAGTACTATCTAGAAGAACCATTAAAATAATAAAGGGCATACATGCAGATAATTACTACGTATCCTACAATACAGAAAAAAATGGAAAAAATGAAAACTAATCCAAATGACGACAGAAACAAAGACTACAAGACAGGTAGGACAAATAAAAATTAGTTCTAAGTAGCTAGGAGATTAAAACTCAAATGAATAAGTAGTTATATTAAATACAACAAACAAAATATGCCATTAAAATACAGAAACTATCAGACTAAAAATACAAACACATAAAACTCAACTACATGCTGCTTACATGAGAAATACCTTAAATGTAAGAAGAGAAAAAGGCTGATGTAAAATGATGAAAAAAAAATATATCTTATGCAAAAACTAACCATGAGAAAGCTGTCTGATATTAAAATATCAGATTAAGTAGACTTTAAAACAAAATGCATGTTTAGAGATAAAGAAACATTTTATAATAATATAAAATTCAAAACATAAAGATATAATTCTAAGTTTGTTTTCATTTAAAACACAGCAAAATAAAGCAAAAATCAACAGAACTACAAAGAAAATCAGATAAATTCACTCATAATACATTTCAACACACCTTTCTCAGTATAGAAGACCAAAACCAGTAAGGATGCAGAAAATTAAATAAACACTATTCAGTTCAGTTCAGTTGCTCAGTCATATCCGACTCTTTGTGACCCCATGGACTGCAGCACGCCAGGCCTGCCTGTCCATCACCAACTCCCAGAGTTTACTCAAACTCATGTCCATTAAGTTGGTGATGCCATCCAGCCATCTCATCCTCTGTCGTCCCCTTCTCCCGCCTTCAATCTTTCCCAGCATCAGGGTCTTTTCCAATGAGTTAGTTCTTTGCATCAGGTAGCCAAAGTATTGGAGTTTCAGCTTCAGCATCAGTCCTTCCAGTGAACATTCAGGACTGATCCCTTAATTGGATCTCCCTGCTGTCCAAGGGACTCTCAATTTGTCTTCTTCAACACCACAGTTCAAAAGCATCAATTCTTCGGTGCTCAGCTTTCTTTATAGTCCAACTCTTACATCCATACATGACTACTGAAAAAACCAAAGTTCTGACTAGACAGACCTTTGTTGGCCAAGTAATGTCTCTGCTTTTTAATATGCTGTCTAGGTTGGTCATAACTTTTTTTCCAAGGAGCAAGCATCTTTTAATTTCATGGCTGCAGTCACCATCTGCAGTGATGGAGCCTAAAAAAATAAAGTCTCTCACTGTTTCCCTATCTACTTGCCATGAAGTGATGGGACTGGATGCCATGATCTTAAGTTTTCTGAATGTTGAGTTTTAAGCCAACTTTTTCACTCTCCTCTTTCACTTTCATCAAGAGGCTCTTTAGTTCTGCTTCACTTTCTGCCATAAGAGTGGTATCTGCCTATCTGAGGTTATTGATATTTCTCCCAGCAATCCTGATGGCAGCTTGTGCTTCATCCAGCCCAGCGTTTCTCATGATGTACTCTGCATATAAGTTAAATAAGCAGGGTAAGAATATACAGCCTTGATGTACTCCTTTTCCTATTTGGAACCAGTGTGTTGTTCCATGTCCAGTTCTAACTGTTGCTTCTGATCTGCGTACAGATTTCGTAGGAGGCAGGTCAGGTGGCCTGGTATTCCCATCTCTTTCAGAATTCTCCACAATTTGT